AGTAAGACTCCAACTCAAAAAAAAAAAAAAAATTACAAAATGGGCCAGGATCAGTGGCTCAGCCTATAATCCCAGGTCTTTGAGAGGTAGAGGCGAATGGATTGCCAGAGCCCACGGGTTCGAGACCAGCCCAGGTAACTTGGCAAGACCTTGTCTCTACAATAAATAAAAAGTTAGGCAGAGCCGGGCTCGGTGGCTCAGCCTGTAATCCGCTGCCTTTGGGAGGCTGAGGTGAGTGGATTGCCTGAGCCCGCGGGTTCGAGACCCTCCTGGGCAGCAAGACCTCATCTCTACAATAAATCAAAAAATCAGCCGGGTGTGGTAGTGTATGCCTGTAATTCCGGCTACTTGGAAGGCTGAGGCGGAAGGATTGCCGGAGCCTAGCAGGTGGAGGCTGCGGTGGCCGGGAGCAGCCACTGCACTCCAGTCTGGGTGACAGAGTGAGACTCCAACTCAAAAAAAAAAAAAAAGTTAGCCAGGCATGGACGCACATGCCTCTAGTTACAGCCACTTGGAAGGCTGAGGCTGAAGGATCACAGGGGCCCAGCAGGTCGTCACTGGGTTGGCCGTGAGTGTGCCATTGCACTCCAGCCTGGCCAACAGAGTGAGGCTCCAACTCAAAAAAAAAAAAAATTACAAAATGGCTATACTAATAGACTAATTTTTCACTTATCAGAAGAGCAAAGGCAAATTTTGGTAATACGCTATATTGACAAGGGTGCTGGATTATTCTTTGATACAACCTCCGGGGGGGTATATATAATACTGCTGTGGCAAACAAAATTATACATACACATACCCTTTGACTCAGGAATTCTACTTCCAAAACTTAGTTCCCCAAGTAGGCTTACACAAAAGCAAAGTAATTTATATTTAAAAATTATTCATTACATCATTGTTAAGATTAGAAACCAATCTAAATATCCATCAATAGGGAAATAAATAAATGACAGTACATCCATTATGCAGAGAATAAACAATCTTTAACTTATATATTATAAAATGAAAAAAAGATGTTTAAAATACTACATATAAAATACTAACCTCTCGTTTAGACAAAAAGTAATGCTTATACAGTAGTGTGAATGTACTTCATGCCAACAAACTACACTTAAAAATAGTAACTTTTTTTTTCAAGTAGAGTCTCACTCTGTCGCCCAGGTTAGAGCGCAGTGGCACACTCAAGACCAGCCCAGTGTTGACCTGCTGGGCTCTGGCGATCCTTCCGCCTCAGTCTTCCAAGTAGCCAGAACTACAGGAAGCACTACCACACCTGGCTAATTTTTTATTTTGGCTGGTCATGAACCCACAGGCACAGGCAGTCCACTCACCTCAGCCTCCCAAAGTGCTGGGATTACAGGCTGAGCCACCGAGCCTAGCAAAAATAGTAACTTTTAAAAAATAAACCAAACTTTAAAATGAACTTGTTAAAACCACTACATAATTATTCCTGAAGTTGGTTGGGCACCTAATATATATTTATTGTTCTGGGCTAAAGTCAGCAAACTATACCCTTTGGGACAAATCTATCTTAACTTACTTTTGTAAATAAAGTATTATAAGAAGATAGCCATTGGTTTTACATATTGCCTATAGCCGCTTGGGGTAGAGTTGAGTAGTTGCAATAAGACC